AATCTGTGTGCAAATGTACACAAAAGGATTTTGGGAAGAATGCTCACCCAGAGCTTGTCTCTGAGGGGTAGGAGTTCACATGAGGGCTATTTTTTCTCATTTCTGAATTTTTCTAAATTTTTCATGAGCATATATTATACAAAGATCAAATGCAACTAGTAATGCAAAATGTCTGTATCTGTCATTTCTCCCTCCCCTCGGGTTCCCACAAAGAGAGCTTCTCCTCTTTACAAGGCAAAGCTCATGCAAGTCTGCCCTGCCATGATGGTGCTGCCCCCAACTCCCCTCTCTGCTTTCTCTCTACCTTCAAGGAGCACAGGCCGGCCCCACCTAGAACACCCTCCCTGCCTGGCCTGGCTTCTTACTTTACTCAGTCCCCTTTTCGGGAACTTCTTTAACACAGGCCTCACGGCCTTTGCTTCAAATCCCTCCGAGCCAGTGCAGCGGGGCTTTCTCCAGACTAAACAGTCTACTGCTGACTGGTGAGCACCAGCCCTCGTTGGTGAATGTTTCCTCCTGTCCCTTTCCATGGCATTACCCCCACACCAGCTCTACCTGGTCCCTGCCACTCCTCTGGGCTCCTTCACAAGCTCATTTTCTTCCTCCCATTCTCTAAAAGTAGAGATTTCCCAATGTAGCTGAAGTCCTTAGAGCAGGTCTTCAGGGTGAAGTAGCAACCAGGACGCGGGTGGAGGTCCTCAGGGTGGCACCCAGAGTCCCCTGGTCTTGTGGCTCCTGAGTCTCTTGGCCAACCCTCAACTCCAGGCAGATCTCTCTACCCATAACCCCTGAACACATTTGCCCCCAGGCATAATGCTGAGTTAACCACAGCACTGTCTCCTGCCCCTCCTCCAGTGACCCGATCCAAATCTTGCCCCCGGCTGCAGCTCCTTCCTAAAGCCTTTCTTGAAAAGCTCTCTTTCTCTCCAGATTCCCATTCCATCTACTGGATACGTCACTCATTTGTTTTTTTGCATCATCTCCCTTGATTATTTGGTTTTCTTCCTAAGTGTGTAAGTCTTGTTTCTGCCTGAGGGCAGGAACCATCCTCTTCACCTTTAAACCAGCAATTCCTCCTCCCAGGAGAGCAGGTGCTCCGTACATGTCCGCTGACTGGAAAGAGGGGGGCAGTGTCCCAGCATAAGTGATATTTTAGCTTGGTTTTCTCATCTGCAGGTCTCCATCTAGAGATGTTGAGTGACACTGTCAGAAATAAGGGTCTGGAGCACAGAGTGATCTGGTTTCCCCAGCCTTTCCCCATGTGGAACCTATGAGGCCAGGTGAGGCTGTTCAGGGACTGGGTGTCCAGGAAGAGTCCAGGAGCCTGTGGCTGAAACCATGGACTCATCCAGAAGAGGAGCAGCAAAGGAGAGAAGATGGGAAGGAACCACCACCACCCAAAACGGCTTCCTTGAACCGTCTTACAACACTCGGCACTCTTAGCACTGAAGTCTTTCTTGAATGATGTGGACACACACACACACACACACACACACACACACACACACACACGCTAAGTAATACATAATCAAACACGGGAGTGTATATATAAGTGGCACAAACCGTCACGCCATTGAACTTGCCAGTTCTGACACCCAGCAAAGCTGCCTGTCCTTCATGAAAACAGCCAAGCTATGCAACATCTTGAGAAGCAGAAATATTTTTCCTCTCTCAAATTAGCTTTGGGAATGTGAGTCTTCAGTTATCCAAAGTACCCCAGCTGGAAGGCAAGGTTCCTAGTGTGTGCATGTGTGTGTGCGTGAGGATCTGGAGCTGATTTCCAACATCTGAGCCCCTGGCCCCCTGAATCGGGCCCTGCAGTGGCTCTTTGCATTCTGCCACATCGGCTCCTTCACTTCTGGTGTCAGGCTCCTGCCAGCACCCTGAGGCCCGAGGATGGTCCAGCTTTCAAAGGGGACCCGGTCTGCCTGCTCATGAGTGGGTATAAGTGGATATAACCTCCCCCAGCCAAGCCGTGGGAAGGAGGTTTTCCTGGGATCACACTGCTGTAGTCTGCAGCGCCTCTTCTCCCTGCTTGCCCTCTGCCTGTGGGGTGCAGGCACTGCCGTCTAGTTCCATGGGGAAGGGCTGTTCCTCCTACACTTGGGGAGCTGTGGGGGTGGCTCTGCCCTGTTTTTGGCAGCAGAGGACAAATCTCCCAGGGGCAAAGAGATGCCCACGCAGTGGACCTGCTTCCAACCATCTCTCCACCTAGTCATTTCCGGTCCCCAAGTGGCACTCAGGCGTCAGAGCAGGGTGGGCCTCAGGGACCACCCAGGAGGAGAATGAGGCCCAGGCTGGGAAACACTGGAACCAGAGCCTCACTTGGGGCCGGGAGGAGAGCCCATGTCTCTGCTTCTCCAATCAGGCACCTTCACAGCGGGCCAGGTGGCTTCTGGGTGGGGATGGGGGGCCTCACATGGCTGGGAGGACTTCCAGGACAGGGCCCTCTCATAGGCAGATGTGGAAACAGTCCCAAGGTGGCTGCTAATAACTCAGACAAGCCAATGGGAAGTTGCAAGGTGGGCCTGTCACCACCAGGGGCTGGTGGCCTCTGTGTGCCCCTCATGTGTGGGATGGGCTTCATCTGGGACCAGGTGTCAGCGTGCATCAGAAGATGGGGCTGCTTGGGAGGCCTGGGAGGCCACGGGCAGGCAGGAGGGGCTCTGGGGGAAGCAGCTTGGCTGGCAGAGCGGGCCCTGGCACCCGGCCACTGGTGGCAGTGCTCCTCAGCAAACGTGTTTTCCTGTTTAAGTACTGTCTCCACCAACACCCTCTCCCCCACAAAACATAACATCATCATGTTTTGCTTTGAGTGGGAATGGTCACTCTTTGCCAGCAGATGTGATTCTCAGATTGGTGGGACCTTCCGAGGTTTGAAGCCAGCTCCCCTCAGGGAGGGGTTGCTGTGGAAGGGGCCGCTCTGTTCTGCTGAGCACTTGACTTTTTCCACGTGGGTGAGAAAAATCCTGATTCTTCACACTCCACAGAACCCAAAGACAAATATTTTGCTGTCTACCCTGCTTTTCCATCTCAGGTAGAGGTGGTGGCTCTTCCTGGATCCTGGGGAGGCTGGGGGACAATCTGCAGGGAATCCACGCTCACCTTCCTCCCAGCAATGCAGCCCCTGCCCTGGGCTGTCCTGGGAGATCATGGGAGGGTTGCCCTGAGACTGGAGGAAAAAGACATGAGAGCTTCCCCGGGGCCCTCAGTGAACAGGGGCTCAGCCCCATGCGGTAGTGGGGCTGTTGGCCCAGAGCAGAGAAAAGGAGGTGAGAGAGGCAGCCTCGGTTTCTTCTGAGGAGCCCATAGCCTCCAGGCCAGCAGTCAGAGGCCCCGGGACCCGATCACGTGTTTCAGCCCATCCTCCTTGGGCACCTCCTCTAAATATTCATTCGCTGCAGCTCTTCTCTCCTCTGCTCAGAGTAGAATTGCCTCCAGGAGTTCAGAAAGGCAGGCCATGTGCTCCTGACTCCCTCCTCCTTGGAAGCCGGGTATCTCCTCCATGTCAGAGGCTTTCGGCCCTGCCTGTATCTCCCTCACTATATTTCCTCTCACAGTCTTACCACTCTGAGAACGGGCAGCTCCTGACCCTCATCATTAAGGTCCAGAGCAGCGTGGGCCCCTTGCCTGTGGTGAGATGTGGTCTAAGGCCTTTTCGGAGGCTTCTGGGTAATGACCTACCCCAGGCCTGCTACCGTAGCCGAGAGTAGGAGCTTCGTGGGTGAGGCTTCTCCCTGCTGCTAAGGGGACTCCAGAGAGTGGATTATAACTTTCCTGCCTCATCTCAGACAGCCTAAGACCTGGTGAGGCCATTAGGAAGCACAGAGAGAGAGGCCAGAGGCCAGAGGGAAGGAAGTGACTGAGGCAGGGGTATATTAGCAAGCACTTTGGCCTGGAAGTCTGGAACCCCAGGCTCTAGTCCCTCTGACTAGTGGGAAATCTTAAGCAAGTCCCTTCTCTGTCCACAGGGCCAGCAACATAACTTGTGGAAATTGTGCAAAGTGAAAACAGGGGTGCCTTGTTAAAAAATTATTAAGAATTTCAAGACAGCGGTAGCAGAGCATTTAACCTGGTGTGTGACCGTCCGAGCACACGGCCCAGTGGGAATGCACAGGTTGCATACCTGCGACACCAGCCCTACCTTCCTGGGCCTCGGTTTCCTCAACTATACAACGTCGGGAGTGTGTTCAACCAGAAATTTTCTTCAGAGGGACCCTGAGATCCTTATATGTGAAAGAAGACAGAACTGCTTCTTCAACAGAGAGAGGATAGTTTAAATAAAGCCCTTCAGGTGGTCTAGATCTTTCCCGGTTTGAACACTGGGTCATTGGGAGAGGCGTTGAAGTGTCAGGCTGTAGGAGCCCCAAGCATCTGCCCCGAGGGCTGGGGAAGGATTACTGAGAAGCATGGGAGTTGGCCCTAAAAACCTCAAAGCTTCCAAGTCTGGCTTCCATTCAAAGAACGGACAGCAAGGGCCACTGTGGTGATGAGCCACTGGCCTGGGGACAGCTCAGGCGTGGACCGCTGGTCCTCTTCCCCAGAGGCTTTGTCCCAGGAGGTCAGAGGGCGTTCAGAGGTTGGGGAGAGAGAGCAAAGCAAGAATCCTCAGGCTGGTGCTGGGCAGAGCCCAGTGGGGGGGGGGGCACAGGCGCCTCCGACAGGGGTCCCCTGGGTGAGGGTTTACGCTGCTAGGAGGTTGGGCTGGTGACATCTTTCTGCGCTGCCTCGCAAAGGGATCAGAAACTTCTCAGGAGTCCCAAACCGTTCGCAGAGATGGACAGTGAGCCGGGGCTGAGAGGGGTGCTGGGAGCTTTCCCCGCCTCTCCTGGGCTCCCCTCGCCCTGGGTAAATAGGCCCCCTCCCGCCTCTCCCGCGAGGACCTGTCGCAGGAGGACACAAAGGCTACGAAGACCCCGGAACTCCTCCCGAGGGGTCCTGCCCCCGTCGCCGCGCTGGCGGGCGGGTCCCGCGGGGGTCGCCCCGGAGCGCGCGCTTACCTTTCATGGTCCCTCCCGGGGGCGCGCGGGCGCGCGTGGACAGGGGGAGCGCGGGGCGCGGGGGGATGCCGGCCGGCCTCAGGGGGCGCCCGCCCGCCCGCCGCGCGCCGCCGCGGGACAGGGGCTCGGCGCGGGGCTCATGCCCGAGGGGCCGCCGCCCAGGCGCGGGTCCCGGGGTCGCAGCCGCGGCCGCGCCGCGCGCTCCCCGCTGGCGGCCGGCGAGGTCTGGCAGCGCGTCCCGCGCCCGCCCCTGCGCCCGCCCGCCCCCCGCCCCCCGCCCCGCTCCCTCCCTCGCCGCCACTCCCTGGGCCCCGGCCCAGGCCGGCTTCCTCGGTATTTTCAGAACGGCCGCGGCCAAGCCTCTCGGTGCCGCCGCGCGGGGCCCGCACCCCGGCCGGCCGATCGCACCCCCGCGGCCGCGCTCCCGGAGCAGCGGCCGCCGATCGTGGCCCCGGACGCTCTCCCCACCCATCCGAGCGGCGGGGGAAGGCCCTTAAGTCCCGGCACAACGGAACGGTGGTCGCTCACCCTGGCGCCTGGACTCCAGGCGAATGGTTGGGGGCGGCCACTTCATGCCTCCAAACTGCTGTTTTCTATATGAGACAACTGGGCCCCAAGTGCCCCCAAATTCTGTGATTTTGTTCGTCCAGGGGCCCGTGGTGTGAACCATGACACCGGAGGGAAATTGACCTCAAACAAGGAGACGTGACTCCTGTCGCAGGCTCTCCTCTGGGATCCACACATGTCAATGTTCACTGATGGACCCTTTACTGAGCTCCTGCCGCCTACCAGGTTCTGCCCCAAGTTCTGGGGGTGTGAGGAACACCTTACACGCCCCAGTCTCCATGAGGTTGCAGCTGGGGAGGAAGGCCCGTGATTGAACAGGTAATGGTGTCGGTTGTGATGAACGCCAGGGCAGGACAGTGCAGGGAGAGATGAGAGCGCAGGGTGAGGGCAACCCAGCCCCTTTTGATCGCTATAGTCAGTCCCCTACCCACATCCCGGCACCTCCACGCCCGCCCCCACGTGGCCCTTGCAGTGAAGTAGGAGCCAGAGGAGCAGAGGAACTTCCTCCTATGGCAGGAGCTGAGAAAGGGCCCAAGACAGCCACCCACTCACAAACCCCAGCCCACCAGAAAGGGTGATGTTCAGCTGTCTCTACCCTTCGCCACCTGGCAATGGCAAGTTTCAGTTTGTAAAGCACATTATCTCGGTTATCTCAACAGAACCTCACCACAGCCTTGAAAGAGGGAGACAGGAGCTACACTGTCCATTTTACAGATGAGGAGACTGAGGGTCAGAGAGGAGAAGGCCCACAGGGATAAGGCAGGAGAAGTCACCTTGGCCTCAGTCACCTTGTACTCCTGCAGTCTTGGCTCTATATTCCGAGTCTGACACGTGACCCTCAGTCTCCTGGGATTGTGGCACGGATCTAGAGAGCTGCTTTGTAAACACCAGGGAGATACAGCAAAGGAACGTATAGGCAGGAGGTGACCCGTGTATTAACTCAATCTTCAGCAGTCCTGTCACATAAGCACCATTACTGTCCTCATTTTTTAGAGGAGGAAACTAAGGCTTGAAGGGAATAAGTAAATGCCTAGTGTCATGTAGCTAGGAAGTGGAGATCTTGGGATGTGAACCCAGCAGGCTGAATCCAGTGCCTGTGTGCTTAGCCACAGTATGCCACACTGCCTCTCCTAGAAGGTGCTCAGATATTGTTTGACAGAAAGAACGAACAAGCGACCTTTGGTTTCCTCCATGTTTTCTTTAGTTGCCTTGACCCAAGGTGTTTGGTGAGAAAACAGGCCTAAACCTGATGGAAGGGAGTGCCTCTCCCACACCCAGACCACATGGGGTCAGAGGATAAAAGCATCCTGTGGTACTGCTATGATAATGCACATGCGTCACCAAGAAAAGAAATATGCGATGCATGATTGCAGATGGGCTCTGGGTGAACAGAGCTGGCCCTCAGCCCTGGGGAGGTTCAGAGGATGGACTCCAGTCCCCAGTGGAGTCTGGAGAGAGAGGACCCAGCACTGTGGTGTGGCAGGAGAGAGCTGGAGATGAGTTGGCAGACGCCAGGGGCCAAAGCACCAGAACAGTTCAGAGGAGAGATGGCAGAAAGAGGGTAAAAGATGAGCAGGTCAAGATCACACACCACAGAGCAAGAAGGGAGGAAGGGAGGAGCCGGGATTGCTAGAGATGACTCCAGCCTCTGGGGGAGCTGCAAAAGCTGCGATTTCAGGCATTTTTCTACCAAAAGCCAGAGGGATGGACCCAGGATCAACCGGAATGACTCCCCCTGAGCGACAGATTACGGGGACATCAGGATATGGCTCAGGCTGGAACCTCGGCACAGTGGCACAGACAGCACCAGATGGGGTGGGGTGGGGCAGGGAGTGGGGAGAGCTGCTTAATGGTGTTTTTAACTTGAGCTGGGGTGGGGTGGGGTGGGCGTATTCGATGGAACCCAAAGCCCTGCTTAAGTTGAAAGCCAGAGGAGACGGCTGAAGAGCAGAGGTCGTTGAGAAGAAACAGGATCACTGATGGTGAGACCCTCCATGTATATGGAGGTAGAAAGTCCCACCTCAGTTTTTGAACAATGTTGTGATTTGCTCAGAATAAAACCACCCAGGTAGCCTCCCCAGATTTTCCTTTCTCTTTTCTACTTCAGGCAAAAACCCTCCGTTTTCCTAAAGCTCAATTCTTCCACCTCTGCCTTTGACCTTTTCTCCCCCAACAATGCTCTTTCTTCTCCAGCAATAGGACATTCCTGCCACTTTTCCTTTTAGGATGGAACTTCAGTCCTCAATTCTCACTGAAATTACTCCCTTCTTCCTACTTACCAAAATAATAGCCTTTTCAAAATCTGTATCCTCTTTAACTGTTTTATAGATTTCACATGTATTAGGGTTCTCCAGAGAACCAAGAGCTGCCAGGTGGAGACCCAGGGAAGAGCTGGTGGGTCTACTGGCAGAGCTCCTTCTTTCTTGGGGGAGGTCAGTCTTTTTTCTATAAAGGTCTTCACCTGATTGGACAAGGCCAACCACACAAATTAAAGTAATGTGCTTGACTCAAATTCTACTAATTTAAATGTTAATCTCATCTGCAAAGCATCTGCACAGAAGCATCTAGAATGATACTTGACCATATCTGGGTTCCATGGCCTCGCCAAGTTGACACATAAAATTAACCATCACAAATACCATTGGCAGCTCCTTTTTTTTTTCTTTGAGGAATTAAAAAAATTTTTTAAATTAAGGTATTATTGATACACACTCTTATGAAGGTTTCGCATGAAAAAACAATGTGGTTACTGTATTTACCCATATTATCAAGTCCCCACCCACACCCCAACGCAGTCACCGTCCACCAGTGTAGTAAGATGCCACAGAGTCAGTTCGCCTTCTCTGTGGCAGCTCCGTCTTAAATCTCTCTTCCCTGGTTTATCTGATCCTACATACTTCAGGTTCCCCTTCTCAGCTTCTTTGGCTTCTCTTTTTCTAATGGTTTCTCCTGTTTGGTGTATTTCCTAAAGAGAGGCATTCCCTAACTTTATATTAGTCAGTATAAGTAATACTTGCTGCTCCAGCAGCCACCCCCCAACCCCTTCCCACACTCTCAATACAGCAGAAGTTTATTTCCCTCTCCCATCACAATCCACTGTGGGTTGGGAAGTTCTCTTCCAACTGGTGACTCAGGGACCTAGCAACCTTCCCTCTTGTATTACCACTGTCTTTAGCATCTGGCTCTAAGGTTACAGCAAAATGGAATAGAGAATGGAAGATCATGCATAGGTGGAATTTTTCTACCTATATTCCATTAGCCAGAGCTCATCTAACAAGGGAACTTGAAAATAGAGTTAGTAGTGCCCTGGATGGAGAAAAGAAGCACAGATCCGCAAGCACGGTGCCTTGCGTGGAGAGGAGAAGCACAGATTCTCTGCAGAGGCCACCTACCAGGTCACCAAATATCTGTTTACTCCCTTTTTTTCACAAATATAATACATTCCCTTCCCCGCAAGGAGGCAGCTCAATATCCCACCAAGTCACTGCATCAAGCTCAAAGCCCAGGCTCTTCCCCTGATTCTTTCCTTTCCATCAAGTCTGAACAGGGCTCCAAGCTCAAATGGAGGCACATGGATCAGATAATCACAATAAAAATGTCCACTTGGAAAAAAGAAAAGTGAAACATATAGATAGCTAATGCTCTGGGGAAATTTTGAGACCCTCAGGTTCAGTAAAGGCCCCTAACCCTGGGGTGGGGGAAGATCTTTGCTTAGGCCTTCATTCAACTCTCTGGAAGAACGCTCTTGTCCATCATACTCTAGGATGTGCCCTCTAGAAGGTTCTCCCTGGCCTACTACCACCTTTAGACACATCTGAAGTGGATGCTGGGGGGTGAACCTTCCTGGGGTTGCTCAGTTCTCCCAGCCCACTCCCCCTGGAGCAAGGTCGTTTTCCAACTCCAACAGTCAAGATAAGAGATAAAGGTCTGGGCATATGGGGTTTCATTTTGCAGTCAAAATCCTTAACAATTTTATCAAAGTCTCACTATTTGCTTCCAGTCTTTTCAATGGGCCAGGGTTTCCCTAGACACAATGCCTAAACCTGCTTTGCATCTCCCCTTTACCTCTCTCTGTCTCTCAAAGGCCAGTTAGTGGCCTCAATGCTACAAGACTTGACTGACAAGGACATATCCTTAATCTAATCTCTTCACAAAGGCTAGGTCTTAATGGGCCGTTGCTGCTGAAAAGCTTCCCAATCTTATTTTCTGCTACTTGGGATAGGAGCAGTTGGTGTTTTCCTCCCTTCTGGGCTTAAATTTTCTGAACTGCCTCTATTCCCATTTATTTTCTTTGCAAACCATCCATTCCTCCCAAGCTTTTCTCTTTCTTGTGATGCCAAATATAACCCAAAGCAGAGAACATACACTATCACTTGCATTCTTCACAACAAATGCTCCCTGGGCATGCCCACTTAACAGGCATGTGGCCCACTACCCTAGATAACATAGGCACAACATGCCAAATGTTTTGCCACTACCAGCGTAAAGATTTTCATTTTTTCATCCTCTAATACTAGGTTCCTTACATCCTGCTTCTCATTGCTATGCAAATGCTGCATAGTTGTGTTTTTATTACAGTGCCATCTATTCCAAGATAGCCATTTCTACAGTAGTTAGAGCAAGTAGCATTAGCTCTGACAAATAACCTCAAGATTTCGATGACAGTACAATAATAGTTTATTTCTTA